TGAAAGCAATTAGTCAGATCTTGGAAAGGAGGGAGTTGAGATTACATAAACAAAACTGCTTTGACACCTGTGATATGAACTGGATGCTTTATTGCCACAAAGGACAAGGATTTGCTTGAAGAAGTTAAGAGTTAATTGCAGGAAAGATGGGACTTCAAACAGACAGTTAAGGCCAAATGTAACATGGAACAAAGAAGCTACTTCTGATAAGGTGGCAAGCTGCAGACTTGTTGTAATTTGGATGAAAGGACTTTAAGAAACCATCAATATCACACATATACAGATGTTCCTCCCTCGGTCTAAGGATTCAACATGAGATCTCCCCCTTTAGCAGAACTTCGAAGAACAACACTGTACAAGGATCGAACCCTGGACACTTGGAGACAGATGCTTTTGGTTGGAATCCTGGCCAGATTCCTCCTTTAATTGGATAATAGCTAAGTTGGTTTGTGAGGCTTAGCTTATTTACCTGAGGGGGTCTTATTTTGGTTGCTAGATGCAATAAAGTGTAAATCATTGTTTCAGTACTGGATTGTCTGTGAGATTTCTTAGTAAGTAGCTGAATTAAAGCTAACTTGTGGTGATTTACCATTAACACCCCCTCCATCAATCCAAGTGGGAATGAAAGAGAAAATATGCATTGATATATCAAACTGCTGATTCAACAGGTAAGGCTGGTTTACGTCAAGACAAAGCAGGGATCAAATCTTGGCCCTTCAATAAATGGTAGTTATAATTTTTAGACATTTATTTTTCAAAAAAAAGCAAAGACAAAAACGTATACCAGAACTGATATCTTTTTACAGTGACTACCAATTGGTACAATTCGGCAATGTAAACCAGGCTTCACAAATACAACCAATTTCAAAAGTAGTACAAAGAAGCAAATAAATAAATACACAATAAAGCTTTATTTGCATAGTAATTACATATACAAAAATGTACATGGCATACAAAAGTCCTTAACGGACCAGCGTAGGCATAATAGTCTACAAAGGCAATCACGAGATCATTAAAGATGAAAGGTAAACTTTGCAGATAAATTATCAGATTTAGTGGACACATTTACAATAAGGTAGTACAATTTGAATGGAAAATCTGAATGTTTCAATTAAGAAATTCTAAAACTATCCTACAGTAGAGAGTTAGGCTACAGTGTCGTTTTCTCTGTAATGCAAAGATTAAAAGTAGAATACACAATATTGGAATGGTTCATCTACAGAAAGGTGTTTAAAGTTTGAAATAAAAGAGCTAAACTGGGCAGTTCTTCTGCCTCCGAGCTGGAAGATCCTTTTTTTAACCCCCCCAAGTCCCACTCTCGGGCTTGTTGGCTACAAAAGAACCCAACCACTGGTGTAGGCAGGCCAGTGTGTATCGGTGCCAGGCCGGAGTCCAGATAAATGGAGAATCTTAGCTGCAGGAAAGGCACATCACACACCAAATCCTAAAGTGATGTTTGATATGAACAGGGTCAACCAGAATTGTAGCGACCCGAGGTAACATAGGAAATGCTAATAGACAAACCAACCATTTAAAGCTCAAAACAGTTCAGTATTTCAATTTGGTGTGCAAGTTAAGGTTCTACAAGTGCCTAACCAAGCATCAAGGGTTGAACTCGGGACCTGAATATTTTCAATCCAAAAAGTGTAGTGGAACAGCTTTACTGATATCCAAATTATTAGGTCATATACTTCAGTAAATTGTTAATTGGAATTGTCAGAAGTAGTAAAACTCAATCCTAGTTGAGAGAAAAGGTTTAAGGTTTATGTCAGGTCCACATTACCATAACAGAAATTAGCACTGATGCAAAATGATGCCCATTAATTGCTTGCAGTCATATCAAACAATGCAAAGATGGGGAACAAGTACTTTTTTTCCCCTAATTTGAATTCATGGTGGTTTGGTGGTGGAGTAAAAGACAAATTATTGTGAATAAAAAGCTTGCCTTTATACTGCAGATAAAATCAGATGAGCCAAGAGCTTTCCTTAATTGTGTGGCAGTAATCATATTTCTGCCTGCTGTTTATGGGGAACATTTCATTTAATTGATGCAATTCAAGACTGTGAAACTTCCAGAGCACTGTGATATTTAAACAAGCAAGGGCAAAAATTTGCAGTAACATTTCTTGAAACTTGGTGAAAAGAAAAAGACATGTTTGCTGAAGCTTTTTGGTCTTGCACTCATCAGGACAAACATTAGAATGCCAAAATTTCAAATTATTGAAACAATTTATACTATGGGAAGAAAGGGTGCTGATTATTTGGTATGTTGAACCATAGGGGAGCCCATAGTTCCCACTGCTTTCTCTGTGACAATGCCTTGGTTGATCAGAATTTAAATTGATGTGATTGTTTGAAATTTGGCATTCTTGCATTTGTCCTGATGAGTGCAAGATGAAAAGACTCAGCAACATATCTCACTTTACAGTGAGACTAAACAATCTTTTCTAATCATATCTTTTTGATATCACAAATTTTAGAAAATAAAACCCCACAATAAAAGTCCAAACTAACTGGTTAAAAAGGGTGTGAGTGCTAACTATGAGAGTTCAAACATGAAGGAGTAAGATTAATTCTGTTGTTTATAGCTGGAGACCTTAAAAAAGGGACAGCAGCACAAGACAGATTGATGCTAGAATTCTCAATCAAAAATGAAAGTCTTCATGACAGAGTGCACATCAGTTCTGATTGAAGGGAGAGTATATTTTGAACATTAGACAATTTATACAGTTATGAAATCAACCAAAAGCAGGTTATGCCTTGAGCATACTTGTGCTAATTAGGCAGTTTATATGTAGTTGATAAATCACAAAATGTTCTCTTATACAAGCGGAGCAGCTCGAGTATTATGTAGACAAAACACAGCTTTTCAATTATAACAAAATTGAAAAGCAGCTATCCTATTGGTAATGTACCCTGAAGCACAGTGAGTCAAGCTCTTGAAGTATCCACGACTAGACCCGTCTCCTTAGGTTATAAGATACATTAATACAGATGATAAAGAAAAGAGAGGGGATAATAAGCTTCATAACAATAGGGCAGGACTTGATGGCTCCTCACAAAAAGACATCAGAAATTGTTGGCGAGCTTTCTGGCTGGTAATGCAGCTCAATTGGGACAAAGTGCTGTGGAGCAGAAATACAGAGTTAGAATCCAAGACAATACCAATTTAAAAACTGCTGTGATTAGTTTAAGGACTGTACATAAAAAAAACTCTAAAAGGCTGTAAGAAACAGGATGAAAATTAACTTCCAGTTAGACTATTATAGTATACCCATCTGTTTAAATGAACGATGGTGTACAGAGCTGGAAAGTTTTAAAAATTTTTTTTAAAAAAACTTTTTTCAAAAGGAGGGCAAAAAGGCAACCCTTATCTAAGAAGATTGCTGACACTAGCTCATACAAAGAATCCAGGGTGGTTCCTTTCATACCAGAAATAGGTTTGAAGTTGAACCAATTATGCAGTCTTTGTGGAGAGGAAAAAAAACATAAAAGTACTTTGGTGGACTATGTACATATCACTGTTGAATGGTTACAACACAACTAACTGTGCTTGCAGTCTAAAACTGGAAGTTTACACTAAAAAGTCAGAATGATCGGTAGCGTCTTTATTTTTCTCATTTTGATTTCAGTGAACCTGAAAAAGACTACAATGGAATGCAAGACTGCAAAGTTCTATTCAGTGTGAAAACTTTAATCAAACCATTTATTTAGGTGTTTTTACAAATATTTTGATGAAATTGTAACTGTTACTGAAGTATGTTTGTGCAAGTCACAAATCTAAAAATTGGCATTGAATCACATATAGAAGATTGATCTTTCCCTTCCCAGGAAAGAAAATCACATCAGGGGTGATATTCAGGAAATTCCTCTTTGGTACTACTCACCATAACTTCTTGTTGCTGGAGTATCTTGGCAACTGGATTGGCACAGTTTCTTTCTCTCTTTGTTATCTTATCAGGTGACTGGATGGCACGGGTGAGACAGCAGGAAACCTCTTCGTCCAAAAGTGCCTCTGGGAAAGGTTTTCGATATCCAGGGAAAGTCTCACTGAACCTCTGCTTCATGCTGCTCCAGAGCAGGGTACTTCTATCTGAAGGTCAAAACAGACAGTTTCCAAAGTTCAGTGCAACTCTATTGGTGCTCAATTAATTTTCCAAAACAGAAAAAAAAACAAACAACCCCACAATCAACTGTCTATTAGTGATTTTTTTGGGGGGGTGGAAGGGAGAAACTATTTCTAAATTGAACCCATGAACAGATCTTACAGTTCATGAGTTAAATAAAGAAAGTGGGATCAAACTGATAGTTATTACTTGATCACTAATCAGCCTTGCTTGATTGATAATGTTTGCAAGTCAGCAAATTGTGAGGTCAAATATCAATCCAGGACTCAACCTTGGCTTATACTCGAGTGCTGCATTGAGACAGCTGGAGGAACAGCGAAAAATGAAATATTAAGCTAAGGGTCCATCTGCCTGTTTGGGTGGAGGTTAAAGATCCTCTAAATGTCCTGGCCATAATTTCACCCTTAACTAGCTCCAGTGAAACAGCACAGCTGGCCTTTCATCTTAATGCTATTCATGGCATCTTACTTTGTGCAAACATGACTGCTATGGTTACCTACATAACAACGAAGCTTTTCAAATACTAACATTCTGTGAATGAGAAGCATTTTGAGATGTTGAAGTGCTACACAAATGCAAATCTTTATTTTTTTAAAAAATGCTGCTTTTGTAGTTGATGTGAATATTCTTAATAATTCTAGACACCTAGAGGAACTTTTACCCCTCTTCAGAGATGTAGCTGCTGTGAAGAAGATTCCCAATTTCTGTTGGATTCTTTTAGCTCAGAGACGAAATAGGGAATAACATCAAATGAGATGGGACCTATGTGCTTGACTCTAAAATAGACACTGTAAATGCTCGAAGTGTTGGATATTACAACATGACCTATTTCAATATCTTTTCTTATGTTTTTGTTTTCTTTTGGTGGCAAAGGCATAGAATCTACTCTAGGTTGGAGTCTTCAGCATCCATCACCAAGAGTGGCTCAGCAGCAGTACTACTGATCAACTGGTCGGGTCCCTAAGAACATAGCTGTTAGACTGGGTATGCTGCAGATGTTGAGGGAACACGGAGGAAAAACATACTTGACCTCATCCTCACCAATCTGCCTGCCACAAATGCATTTGTCCATGACAGTATCATTAAGAGTGATGATCCAGTCCTTGAGGAAACAAAGTCCCACCTTCACATTGAGAATAACCTCCATCGTGTTGTGTGGCACTATCACTGTGCTAAATGGGACAGACTTCGAAGAGATCTAGCAACTCAAGACTGGACATCCATGAGGCACTGTGGACCATCAACAGCAGCAGAATTGTACTTCAGCACAATCTGTAACCTTATGGCCCGGCATATCCCCCACTCAACCATTACCATCAAGTGCAGGAGGGCATGCCAGGAGCAGCACCAGGCATACCTAAACAAGAGGCACCAACCTGGTGAAGCTACCAAACAGGACTATGTACATGCCAAATAGCAAGTGATAGAGCTAAGTAAGTAAGATCAGATTAACGGATCAGATCTAAGCTCTGCAGTCCTGCCATATCCAGTCATGAATGGTGGTGGACAATTAAACAATTCCCTGGAGGAAGAGGCTCCACAAATATTCCCATCTTCAATGATGGAAGAGCCCAGCACATCAGTGCAAAAGATAAGGCTGAAGCATTCGCAGCAATCTTCAGCCAGAAGTGCCGAGTGGATGATCCATCTCAGCCTCCTCCAGTGGTCCCCAGCATCACAGATACCAGTTTTCAACTAATTCAATTCACTCCACGTGACATCAAGAAATAGTTGGAGACACTGGATACTACAAAGACTACGGGCCCTGACAACATTCCGGCAATAGTACAGAAGGCTTGTGCTCCAAAACCTGCCGCACCCACAGCAAAGCTGTTCCACGTATTGGCATTTTTAACCCGACAACATGGAAAATTGCCCAGGTATGTCATGTGTACAAAAAATTAGGATAAATCCAAACTAGCCAATTATCACCCCATCAGTTGGCTCTCAATCATCAGTAAAAAGTGATGGAAGGTGTCATCAACCATTCTATCAAGCAGCACCTACTTAGCAATGCCCAGCTGGGGTTCCACCAGGGCCACTCAGTTTGACCTCATGCCAGCCTTGGTTCAAACATGGACCAAAAAAAGCTCAATTCCAGAGGTGAGAATGACAGCCCTTGACATCAAGGCTACATACGAGCAAGAATGGCATCAAGGAGCCCTGGCAACACTAGAGTTAATGAGAATCAGGGGAAAACTCTCCGCTGGTTGGAGCCATACCTAGCTTAGATGATGGTTGTGGTTGTTGGAGTACAGCCATCTCAATTCCAGGACATCTCTGTAGGAGATTCTCAGGATAGTTTTCTTATCTCAACCATCTTCAACTGCTTCATTAATGACATTCCCTTCATCAGAAGGTCAGAAGTAGGGATGTTCACCGATGATTATGCAAGGTTAGTATGTACCATTCTCGATTCCTCACATACTGAAGCAGTCCACACCTACATGCAGCAAGACTTCGACAACATCAAGCTTGGATTGGTAAGTGGCAAGTAACATTTTTTCACAAATGCCAATTCCATCAAGAGGAAATCTAATCATCTGCTCAGGATACTCAATAGCATTATTGTAATTGAATTCTGTAAATTTCAGCATCCTGGGTGGTTACCATTGATCAGAAACTGAACTGGACCAGCCACACAAATACCATGGCTGCAAGAGCAGGTCAGAGGATAGGAATACTCACCCATTGGCTGTCTAAAGCCTGTCCATTGACTGGAAGGAACAATCAGTGTGATAGAATACTCCCTACTTGTATGAATGCTAACAATACGCAAGTAGCTCAACACCATCCAGGACAAAAGCAGCTTGTTTGATTGGCAAATCATCCACCATCTTTAACATTCATTCCCTCTATCACTGATGCACACAGTGTGTACTAAATACAAGATATACTGCAGCAACTTACCAATCCTCCTTTGACAGCAGTCTCTGCAATCTCTACCACCCAGAAGGACAAGGCAGCAGATGCATGGTAACACCACCACCTGCAAGTTCACTCCAAGTCACACACACTTCTGAATTGGAACTATATTGCTACTCCTTCACTGTTACCAGGTTATGTGAGTGTTCCTATACCTTGTGGGCTATAGCAGTCCAAGAAGGCAGCTCATCAGAATTTTCTCAAGTTCAATTAGGGATAGCCAATGCCCACCTCTCGCAAACAAAAATCCAATGAAAATATAAATAAACAAAGATAAGCAGCTGTTTTATACTGAGCAGTACTTGTTTGGCTTAATGTCAACCTGAAAACTTCCTTCACAATAGAAATTAAATTTCATTATCTTTTGTCCTTTGCTGCCCATATTCTTTACTATTCAACTGAAACAATGTCCTTCTTGAGATTACTCTCCAAGTAGTTCTTTGTAAATTTTTCTCAAAATTTAAAAAAATAAAAATTATTTGCTAATGGGACACGTGCGCTGCTGGCTGGTTTAGCATTTACTGCCCTTCCCTAGTTGCCCTTGAGAAGGTGATGGTGGATTGTCTTCTTGAACTGCCGCAGTCCATGTGCTGTAGGTAAATCCATAATGCCCTTAGGGAGGGAATTCCGGGATTTTGACCCAAGAACACTGAAAGAATAGCGATCTATTTCCAAGTCAGGAAGGCAAGTGGCTTCATGGTATACATGCCACTTTTTCTGGTGTTCACCCTCAAGGGGTCCTTGCCTATGTCACAATTGGGGTCCAAGTTTAAATTGTGATACATGACTGCCTTCGATATTTCGTCATTATTGATATGTAGTACATGTCTACTCCATCTGAGCTGGGGTCTGATAACGAGCCTTTCAATTCCAAACATTTCTGCTCTTTGAAGTGCCTCTATGTTGCAAACTTTGTTCTCCCATTTGATACCCGTGATGTTCCAAATGCAGCTCGTGTGGAATCTGTCCAACAGCTTAATTATGTGTGGAGTAGGTGGTCATGTTTTACAAGCACGTAGGAGGGTAGGCATTAGGACAGCTTGATATACAACAAGTTTTTTTGTAAGTTTGATACCTCATTTCCTCCTGTATCTTGAGTAAATAGGCAAATGTTCAGCTAGATCATTGCCACCTTGCAGAGGAGAATATTATACTGTAATAGTACATACAACAGTCCTTCCATTATAAAAGCCACACACACACACACACACACACACACACACACACACACACACACACGATTCTATCATAAATAGCTCACCCCTGCTTCCACCGAAGAAAGAGGATTGGAATTTTGGCCCTTGGGCACTTGTGTGCAAGTGTGAAGAGCTATGGGAAATGGATGTGGGCAACATGTCCATCACATTCAAAGCCAGCTTAGCAGAAGGGAGTGATATCTCAGATTGGCGGGCCATGGTAGGAAGGCATTTTACAGTTCCAGAAACACTGTTCATCTGTAGTGACCAGTCCATAAGTTTAGGTGTTGGAATGGAAGTCAGAGGTGTACATTGGGAAGAAATAACACGTTCTTCAGCATGTTGCTGCTTTGAGGCTGTATCAATTGTTCTGTTCTTCAAGACAGCACCACCTAAATTTGGATGTTCTTCTGGGAAGGCAGGCACACTTCCTTCACAGCTGCTTTCTGTAAGCGTCTCTTCAATCACCTTTACCTCTTGCAACTCTTTCTGAAGTTGTTGTGAAAGAAGTTCGATGTTCTGTAAAACAAAAATCACAACAGCTCAAGAACCTGGAGAAAATGTAATTTATTCATGATACAGCACTCCACTCAAATCATGGATGACAAAGAAAGTAGTATTCACAGTGAATGCTTAGCCATGCCACTGTGTAGGGCGTAGAGAACGGAGGCACTGGCAAAGATTCGAGTAGCTTTTCTGTCTGTTCTTTTAGCCAGGAGTCAGGAGGCAGAAAAGAAGAATTAGCACCAGAAACTAAAAACAAGAGAACACTTGAGAAAAGACAAAAACAGTCCCATTAGTCTTAGAACCTTACAGTGACAGAATCATAAATGCAATTTGTGTAATTAATTTGTTAGCTTACAACTCTTCTTAAAAATAAGGATTATGGAGAAGAGAGGGAAAACAGCAAAGTTACTCCCTTTTTTCCCCCCTCTCTTTCATCAACTCCCCTATTAAATTGTTGGTAAAGAAAAGGAAACTAATGAGACTGTGGAAGAAGCAAAGCTTTACAAGTGATACAATGTCAACCAAATATGCACTAATTACAATACAGCGTAAAGTATAGCCATTAAATGCTGGTTCCTGTACCTTTAGCTTTACTAGCTTTAGATCAACAAGGCTTGGACCCTGATTGGTCTTTGGTCTTTCCAATTCTTCCTTTAAGCTTGGGGTTTCTGTTGCTTTCTCTACTTCTGGTTCTTCTGGATCACTAAAAAGACGAAGTACTATCTGATCCTTAAAAAGAGAATGAGAAGTCCTTTACATATGCAGTGCAAAATCTCATCACATCTTCATTTTGAAATGTTGTAATACGTTACTTAACTTTTACACTAGAGAATTGAGAAATATTGGTGGTGATTTGAGAGAGTGCACCTCCCAGTGACAAACATTGGAAGAACACTGGCAGTCAGAGTGTCAGTTGTGGCTCAGCAGGTAACATTCATGTCTGAATGAGCATGTTCCATTCCAGGGCCTGAGTACAAAAAAAAATCTATGCTAACCCTCCAGTGCAGCATTGAGCAAGTGCTGACTTTCAGATGGGTAATTTAAACCAAGATTCCATCTTCCTGCTCAAATGGATATAAAATATGATACTGTTTTGAAGGACAGCAGATGTGTTACCCCCAGTATCCTGGTCAATATTTAAGCCTTATTTATAATCCAGCTTGGGCTGACAAATGGCAAATAACATTCATACCACACAAATGCCAGGAAGTGACCACCTCCAATAAGAGACTATCTAACCACTGTCCCTTGACATTCAATGGTGTTACCATCACTGAATCCCTCATCAACAACATCGGGGGTGGGGGGGGGGGGGGTGGGTGGTGTTTACCATTGATCAGAAACTAAACTGGACTCGCCACACACAGTGGCTACAAGAGCAGGTCAGAGATTAGTAACTCACCTCCTGACTTCCTAGGGCCTACCCACCATCTAAAACACACAAGTCAGGAGTGTGATGGAACACTCCCCACTTGCCTGGATGGGTGCAGCCCCAAAAACACTCAAGAAGCCTGACACCATCCAGGACAAAGCAGCCCGCTTGATTGGCACCACATCCAC